ATTAGCCTTATTTGAATAGATATGGCCTTTCCCCTTTGCTAGAACGTCATCTGTAGGCTCTTGGAATGTATTGCTGGATAAAAGATAAGAATATCTTTGTGTACCACAAGGCCTTGAGCTACACGGGGTGGTCTAATAGAATCATTTTTGGGGGGTTCTTTGGGTCATACCATATGTATACTAGATCCACAGGGATTGGGTACTAAAGATCCAGTCTGGACGCCAAGGCTTGATTGAGTTTCCCTAGTTAGCAATACATATTATGTTTCACACATCGTTGCAGGAAGGTATTGTTAACAGTTGGTGACTGCTGGAAAAGTACTACTGGAAGCTCTCAGTTTGGAACGCCCTTAGACTCTGATCCACGAGTCTCTTCCCTTTGCTGATTTTGCTTCAAGTCCTTTTGCTATAATGAACCCCAATCTTGTGTATAATAACTTTCAGTGAGTTCTTTGAGTCCTTGTAATAAATTATATCATCTGAGTGTAGTTTTGTTGAAAACTCTGAACCCTGCAGTTGGTGTCAGATACGAGTGCAGTCCTATGGACCATCCCTTAGCTTTGCCACTATATATTACAGTGGTATTAATATTACTATACTGCTTATCACCAAAAACTTGGGATAGTTTGTGGGTTTTTTTGCCTTAATTTAATGAGTTTGGTAGTTCTCATGTGAATCTAAGTCTATTCGCCTGCAAATTTCCAAAGAGTGATAAACATTTGTTCAGGCTTTGGTGAAAGATAAAGGGATATGAAAGCAGTTAACTGTAAGCATTCTTGATAGTCTTACAAAACTGAGAGCTCCTTGAAGTAAAGGACAAACTTATTTCTCTTTGTATCGCCAGTACCCATGTCAGTGACTAGCCTAGAGACATTCAATGACAATCTCTTAAATAAATTGATGTATAAATAAATAACTTGCCATGGTACAATTTACTAGGGTACTTTGACATACACCAAAATCTCCTTATAAACCTTCATAACTTAATTCTTCTTTAGTTTCTTCTTTTACCAAGCTTCTGCTAACCCTTAATTTGTTACATTTTTTAAACATTGTATTTTCTTTCAATCAGTCATCAGTCTTCACTCCTATATTTTAAATAAATTTTTACCTTCTTAAACTTATCAATTTTAAATTTCATTAATTTTTTTCTTAAGTGTTATTTTCTTCTCTTTTCAAATGCCAAAGTATTTCCTGTCCTGGGATTATAATTTTTTATTATATTTATTTTCTTTAATTTGTTTTATTACAAAAAGCTCAAACCTATCATGCATTCCAAAACAATCATGCATCAGAGATTTGCTTTACTGGTTGTGGTTGAGGATTTCTCAGGTGAATTAATTCAGTTCATTCAATATTTTTTTAAAGTACTGACTACTATCTGAGATAATGTTTTATTTAACACAAAGGGCTACTATTTTGTCCATTACAACCTCAGAAAAAGGAACTATCAGGACATCATGTGAGAGTTTTACTGACTTTGTCTCTGTAAAAAGTGGTCTATTATAGTCTATGTTGCTGGAATTCCTAAAAATCTACTGAGTGGAAAGGTATTAAGTTTGGGTGATTTTATAGCTTATTTCTATGTAATCTTTAAAGCACAAATACTTTTTACATTCAAGATTTAAAGCATAAAAAGAATCATGTGGTATTTTAAAATACATACACAAATTATTTTAATATCCTTACCTCAAAAGACGGATCCTAATTCCCCTTCTGAATAAATACCAGATTTAAGTGACTTGCTTCTAATGAATAGAAAGTAGCAGAAGTGTCATTGTGTCAAAATTAGGTCACAGAGCCATTCCTGCCATTCTCTCTCTCTCTGATTTCTCTTTCTATGGGATAACAGCTACTGTGCTTTGAAGCAGTCTCTTCCATCCTCTGGGGGAACTGAGTTCTTGCAGGAGACACTTGTCTGGGGAATCCTCCAGCTACAGCCAAGCTTTCTGTTGACTGCAGTGTTTGCTTACTTCTTGACTTCAAACTCCCCAGACACCCTGAGTCATAACTACCCAACTAAGTCATTTAAGTGAAGGACAGGAAAGCCTGGCATGCCGCAGTCCATGGGGGTCACAAAAAGTTGGACACAACTGAGTGACTGAACAACAACAAAGTCATTTCTGGATTCCTGATCTCAGAAATTGAATGAGATAATAAATATTCATTGACTTAAGCTGCTCAGCTTGGAGGTAATTTATTATACAGCAGTAAGTAATAAAAGAGAACCCCCACAGTGAAGTTTATGAAGCTACCATAACTTTAAGGACAAAATCTGATGAAGGCAAACTGAAAAGATAAAAATCATAGAATGATTTTATGTATGAATAGTAGAGAATTTTAAATACCCATGTAAAATATTAAAATTTATCCAGGCACTATTTAAGATAAAGATACAACATGACCAAATAAGGGACTTCCCTGGTGGTCCAGTGGTTAAGAGTCCGCTTGCCACTGTGGGAGAGGCGAGTTGCATCCCTGGTCCAGGAAGATCCCACATGCTGAAATGCAACTAAGCCCATGTGCCACGATTACTGAAGCCCGTGAGCCTAGACCCTATACTCTGCAACAACAGAAACCACTGCGATGAGAAGCCAACCTGCCACAATGAATAGCCTCCGCTTGCTGCAACTAGAGAAAGCCTTTGAGCAGCAAGAAAGACTCAGCACAGCCAAAAGAAAAAAAGAAAAGAAATGACCAAATAAGATTTGGCCTAGAACTAGAGATTAACATTAGAATATCTATGTGTACTTTGTTGCAACAGGTTTAAGGAGAAAAAGCACATTATTTCATCAGATGCCAAAAATCCATAAATCACTCCTAATAACTCATAATAGAATTAAAAGGAAATTACATCAATACAATAAAGACTACTCACACACATGCATACGTATTATTATAAATCACAAACTACCAAAGCTAGTTCCATGAAAAAGAAGAAAAAATGGTGACATCTGCTAGCATGTCTAATATGAGATAGTTTGTGATTTTAACTAACACAATAATGTGATAAAAGATAAGGAGAAGTTGTTATTGGAAGGGATATGAAACATTTTTTTCTCTGCTGATAGTATGAAATGAAAGTCAAGATAATCCATTAGATATTAACATTAACATAAGTAATTACAACAAGATACAAAATGCATGTAAATAATCAATCACTCCCCTCTACCCCATGCTAGAATTTCAAGCAGTGGTTTTTGATCTGATGCTATATGTCCACCCAGAAAATCAGCATTAAATTTGTAAGAATGTATAGGGTTTAGTTCAGTGTCACACAGTAACCCTTTTTTGTTATATCATTTCACTACATTTTATGAGTAATCCATCAATTCTAAAAAATTATCAGCCCTGATCATTTAAATCTCACATCTGCATCATTTTCCATTTGTCCTGCCACTATGGTTAGATGCATGCCAGACAATTTTATTACCAATTCCAGATCTCTTAAACTCATTTTTACATTCCTCTCTCTGTATTTTGGATAATTCCTTGAGATCTGGTTTTCTATTCATGAAAATTCTTCAGTTGGGTCCAATTTACTATTAAGCTTATCCAGTAAGCTTTTAATTCTGTTCTCTCTATATAGAAAACAAATAGAAGTTCTAGAAATATTTGTTTTCTTCAAAACTGTGTGATCGTTTTTTGTATTCTGTTAATCCTTCACATATTTCAGGTTTTGTTTGGAAATGTATTAGTCACTTTAAGTCTGTATCTGTTAATGTGTGATTTGGTTTCCATTGTCGTTCTTGGTCATGGTGTCTTTGGCTAATTTTGGTTGTGAAGCTGCTCTTTCATTTTTTAGTATATATATATATATATATGTGGGATTTATTAGGGCCTAAAATGACGGTAAAGTGTCTGCCTACAATGTGCGAGACGCAGGTTCGATCCTTGGGTCAGGAAGATCCCCTGGAGAAGGAAATGACAAACCACTCCAGTACTCTTGCCTGGAAAATCCCACGGACGGAGGAGCCTGGTAGGCTACAGTCCATGGGGTCGCTAAGAGTCGGACACGACTGAGCGACTTCACTTTCAAAATGCTTACTCTTTCAGAGAGGATTTGTATTTGCTTTTACCAGGTGCCCAAGGGGCACCAAAACAGTTTGGGATATTTCTAAATTAAATTCTCAGCCTAGGTGTTTTGAATCCCTATTTTATTCTATTCACGCTGAAACAGGAAAGTGTGAAGCTTGGCTTGTATTCCAAAATCTCAGCAGTGGAGTTTACTTGCTCAGCACCAAGTTTCAGGACAGATTCTTTGCCATCCATTATCTACTGTGAATGAATGTGTGTATTTATTTCTAGTTCCTTTTGGTTTGGTGTCTCCGGCTTCACTGGGAAAGTTCTTTTTATGCTCCCCACCATGGCCAGGCTTCACTTAACACCCTAAAAAACAAAGCTCAGGTTTGGGTAAAAATCAGCAGAGGTGCTTGGGGGTTCACATGGGCCAAGCCCCTCGGGCTGAGTGTTCCTTACTTTTATACTGGCTCTTCATTGCTTCATCCTCAGCCCATGCTCATCTACCTGGCAATTTTCTTGGTTACCTCTACTGATTCCCTTCCTCCTGGCTACTCCCTCCCAGCCCCCCAGGTCCCAGCCTCTTCAGATTTATCTTCTTGACAAAATGTTATTTCCCAGAAAGGAAAGCGCTTATTTCTATCCTACCTAGTACACATTCTACCAGGAAGGGTTTTCCTTTCCTTTCTAATTCCTCTCCGCCCTTGATGCTTGGGGACACCCGGGAAAGCAGAAAGAGTGCTCAAAAGGGCCTGAGCCGAGTAGACAGACTCCTTTACCGATGGAGAGAATGATAACCTGAGACCGAGTACTTTAAAGCTGAATGCTGCCCCCAAAGGACCACAAATTAAATAGGACTTTCTGGGAAAGAAATTATAGCAGCTGACAGGATTTCAAGGCTTCCTTTTTCTTTTCCTCGGTGCCGTTAGGAGAGCGTAGGCTCCTCCTCACCACAGAAACCGCACCAATTACAAAGCAAGGAAACCAGAAAAAACCTTTGTTAACATTCCCGTGAAAATTCAGTCTTCAGCATTCCCCCCCTCCCCGAAATACATGTATCTGTGGTTTAAAAATGAAAAAGGAAAAAAAAAAAAAGGAAAAGAAAAATGGAAAAGCTGTGAGCAGAATGAAGTTGGTAAGAGCATGCTCTTTCGTATTCTGGGTAAGGGTTCATCGCCAAATTCCGTATCGTCAGGATCAACTTGAAGACCTACGTACGGAAAAAGAAAGCTGTAGTTTAAACGGCATTTTCAGGGCAAATTGATAAATGGTTTCGTCGTATCATGGTTCTCTGTAACTACTTGCCTGTAGTGGGCAATGTATGGCATGCATTGTCTAGCTTGCCCATAGTAATTCTTACGCAGGGCAATAGTGCTAGTGAAGATTTAAATGTGGTAGAAATCGGAATATAGCCTTTGTAATGAAAGGATTACAACTCATTTGCTGAGAACATGCGTGGCTCTTAAAAGAGCCTTTGGGGTTGGGTGTAAAGACGCTTACTTGGCAAGTTTACTTGGAGCTGGTGTACTTGGTGACGGCCTTGGTGCCCTCGGACACGGCGTGTTTGGCCAGCTCCCCGGGCAGCAGCAGGCGCACGGCCGTCTGGATCTCCCTGGATGTGATGGTCGAGCGCTTGTTGTAATGCGCCAGGCGCGACGCCTCGCCCGCGATGCGCTCGAAGATGTCGTTGACGAAGGAGTTCATGATGCCCATGGCCTTGGATGAGATGCCGGTGTCGGGGTGGACCTGCTTCAGCACCTTGTACACGTACACGGAGTAGCTCTCCTTACGGCTGCGCTTGCGCTTCTTGCCATCTTTCTTCTGCGCCTTGGTCACCGCCTTCTTCGAGCCTTTCTTTGGGGCTGGAGCTGACTTGGTGGGTTCAGGCATCTTACCGATAAAAAATGGAACAGTTACGCCAACAGCTGGGAAAATAGTTACCGCGAGTGAGGTCACATTTATTTATAGACGCGGTATTCAAATGAGGTTCGTAAGATCTCGCTCAGGATTGGATTAATTTTATTGTGGCGTCAGAAACACAAATGTAAATGACTTTAACAGGTCTACCTTTTCATTGGCTGCTTTGTTACTTTGCTTTGACCCAATCACAGGGCCTAGACTAGGCTACCCAGAGCTAGTATAAATAGCCTGTTCAGGCCCCTGCATTGTGTGTTTCACAGCTAGCAGATACAAGTAGTTGGGAAAGTGCCGGTTTTAGGTTTGTAACTAAAGGCAAAACTTCTCTGTTCCCTTGTGTAACGCTGAGAATTGGCTCGGGCCCCGCACCTAGTGGCCGTCTTACTGTTCTCGTGGGGCTGGTGGGATAGCTCGATAAGAGCATTATCCTGCGCCTCAGGGAAGGTAACCAATGGACAGTTAACCCATTGTAGCCACCTCTCTACCATGTGTGCTGGGTCATCCTGTAATGAAATTCACCATCCCTTATCTTCGTTCCCTACCAGAAGCCCTGATGAATTTTTATCACTTACAAAAAAACCATAATGGTTAAGATACTGAGGCAGAATTCCCCCGCAAATGCCCAATATGTCCTCGTTAAACAAAATGTGCAAGTAACCCATTCAATGACTAACCATCTCTTGTAAAATGGTAAATGCTAAAATTTCACATTTGGGGTTTAACAAAATCCTACAGAACGTAGAGCCTGAAAAAGCCTGGATAATTATTTTACCTAAACTTATACTTGATTTTATTGTGCCATTTGAGGCAGTGTGCGGAGTTTACGTCAAACCGGCGCACTGTTCTGTGAGCCACGTACAGGGTGCAAGCAAATTGAGAGCAAACCGATTACCCGTTAAACTCCGCGGTTTGCGAATATTACCCTCAACATAAAGGAAAACCCTGCTGTTAAGACCCACCTCCCATCCCAGCGAGGCCCGCCCCCCCACTTGCCGCCTCTTCCGCCCAGCCACGCCCCCTTAAATGTGCAACAGCTCTTTTCGTGAGATCTTTGGGTGGCTCTGAAAAGAGCCTTTGGGTTGTGTCGAGCTTCGAAGCCGTAGGCCAAAGGAACTTCCTATTTCTTCTTGGCCGCCGCCTTCTTTGGCTTGGCTGCCTTGGGTTTGGCGGTCTTTGGTTTAGCCGCCTTAGGTTTCACCGCTTTGGCCTTCGCTGGACTCTTGGGCGCCTTCTTCGGCTTGGCTGCTTTCGCTTTTTTCGGACTCTTTGCTTTTTTGGCTCCTGCAGCCGCAGCAGGCTTCTTCGCCTTCTTTGGGGTCTTCTTGGCGCTCTTCTTGGGGGTTGCCCCCCCAGTAGCCTTCTTCGGCTTTTTAGCTGCTCCTGCGGGCTTCTTGGGCTTGGCCGCACCCGCCTTCTTGGCTTTGGGCTTGGCCTCCCCGGTGGCCGCTTTCTTGTTGAGCTTGAAAGAGCCGGAAGCCCCGGTGCCCTTGGTCTGCACCAGGGTGCCCTTGCTCACCAGGCTCTTGAGACCCAACTTGATGCGGCTGTTGTTCTTCTCCACATCATAGCCGGCGGCGGCCAGTGCCTTCTTGAGCGCAGCCAAAGATACGCCGCTGCGCTCCTTGGAGGCGGCGACAGCCTTGGTGATGAGCTCGGACACCGGGGGCCCAGACGCCTTGCGCTTCGCGGCACCTGCAGCCTTGCGGGCCTTCTTTTTCACAGGCGTCTTCTCGGCGGGGGCCGGAGCAGCGGGCGCGGCGGGCGCAGTCTCGGACATGTTGAAGGCGGGCGTGGGTAGAGCAATTCGAGCCGGAAACAGAGGTACTGGCCGGGACTCGGGCAGCGCCGCTGCGCCCGCCCGTTTATATAGGGCGGAGCTGCGCCGTGATTGGTGCGCTGTCCAGCCCGCCTCGCTGGCAGCCGCAGAGTGTCCTCTCGGATCCCGAGTTGTGTTTGTTACACCTCAAAAAATGCCAAAAATATCAAAATTCTCTGCATCGAATTGCCCGATTTTTCTCAGAAAGTGATCCCCGAAGCCTCAGGCTTCACGCAGGTCTCAAATTATGAGGAAAGCACAAAACCTTATGCCAAAAACCTGCAATATTTCCCGCCGTGCTCGTCAAATTTCGACTCAGAGAAACAAAACTTTCTATTTTCTTAGTAAATTATACACCGATCTTTAACTGTGGAGTTTTCTGACCTCTCAAATATGATTCTCCAAGTGCTTAGGTTCTTATGTGTCCAAAAACCATGTCACTGGCATTAAGATTTTTATTATAAATCTGCGCTTAAGTGAGGGAAGTAACACAGGCTCCTCGGAGAGTCCTGCCTATTGAGCCGAGGGCATTTGAGTTCATCAAACTGGTTTAGTTTAATGCTAAACAAATTATTGCACATGTGACGTTAAATTTTGGACCCTTGGGACATCACCCTATGCAGCCATGGTTTTATTTGTGTCTGCCGCGTCTGGAATTTTAAATAATTCCTTAGGATAATTCTCTTCCTTTCTGCTCCCAAGGGTTGGGGGCGGGGCTGTTGCTTGTCTTCCTCCGGACAACTGCTCCAGGACTTTAGATACCTTGAATTCAGGATATTTGTGAAGGAAAGGGAATCCAAAACATAGCTAGGGTACACAGATGGAAATGGATTAATTTTCAAATAACACACAGATGTTGTCCATAAAGTCACTGGAAGTGGCAGTGCACTTGGACGACATGCCTGCAGTCCTGCTGGATTCTTTTGGCATATGATTCAGACTCAAATAGTAATATACTCTTAGGGCTGAAATTCAGGCATTGATCATAAAGGGAACTAAATGGAAAGTATAGATTGTAACATATCTATTTCCATTACTAGAGAAACTCAGACCCTGTTATCACTGTATAGCTGATGAGCGACTAGTCTACATAGCAAATATGGCTTCAGTCATGAAGATTAAGGCCCTTCTGCTTCCCAGCGCTCCATAAAAAAGAAAATAAGTTACATGTAGGATTGAATGGTCTTGGAGGAGGGCATGCAACCCATTCTAGTATCCTTGCCTGGAGAATCCCATGGACAAGAAGCCTGGCAGGCTAAAGTCCATAGGGTTGCACAGAGCTGGACATGACTGCAGCGACCTATCATGCAAGCAGAATTGAATGACAAGTTCAGATTTTCAGCTGAGACACAAAGCTTTGAGGAATCATCCAAGTTAAGTCTTTGTCCTCTGAAAACACTCTTTGCAAGGTCTTCAAAAAGTAGTTTTGTTTAGGTAGTGCATGTTGGCAATCCTTAAAGCAGTACATGTTGGCAATGAAAAACTCAACTAAAGGAATTATTCCTGGAAGATGGTCTGTATGGAATTGTCTTCAAAATCTGCAGGCCACGTACTTGAAAGACTTGAAATTTCGTCCAGTGATATAAGGTGATATGATACAATTCTGTGGTTGTAACATAGCATTGAAAGTGAAGTCGCTTAGTCCTGTCCAACTCTTTGCGACCCCATGGACTGTAGCCAATTAGGCTCCTCCATCCATGGGATTTTTGGACAGGGATGCTGGAGTGGGCTGCCATTTCCTTCTACAGAAGATCTTCCCGAGCCAGGTATCGAACATAGCATTAGACATCAAATTAATTTTTAGTTCTATTGCACGCAATTTCCTCCACACACAAGATTCTACCACTGAAATAAGATACAGACATTTGCTACATTAATGAAATAGCTCCAAACAGTCTAGTTTGACTTTTAATGCTTAATCTGATATATAAGACATATAAATTATTGATATTTTGAATGACTTACTGAATAAACATTTTCAATGTAATTTGTGCATGCCACTGAAAAATAAATTTATGATTTCTTATATATTAAAATAAAATGGAATGAGTAAGGTTCTAAAACAGATCAATTGATGGTTACTACAGAAACTGATTTTTATGGACATCTTATCTTAGAACAGTGGGGTTATACTCATTTTCAATGACAAACAAAACCACTCCCCTAAATAGTTGAAATCAGCAGAACACACTAAAATTCTTTCAAATGCTTCACTTTATTCTGTGTATCCCTAACTAAATCAGACTTTGAGGCACTTAAATCCTTCTTATTCTGTGATCTCTTAAGTCACCTATGCTCATGTCCTGTGGTGCAGTATGTTTTCTATACATAAAACTATTTGACATAATTAAGGAAGACATTGAGGATCTGCCACTATCACATCAAGCATTTATTTGAAATAAAAGTAACACCATAATGTTCCATTTTCCAAATGATCTATCAGTTAAATCAGAATTACATACGGTGTTGGTATCAGTGTGTGTGTGTGTGTGTGTGTGTGTGTGTGTGGTAAATGTGTTTTAAATATAGATTCCACCATCTTGCCCCAGATAATCCTGAATTCTCCTGAGAAGACTCCTGTTAAGAAGTGCACCCAGGATTCCAGCTGACAGCTATCTGACTTCAAAGCATTTGCTCTCAACACAGGTGTTTTTCAGGCTACGGGTCTGAACAATCATTAAAGGTTGTGAAATCAAGTTACTGAGTTTGCAGCACAAGGTCAAAATGTTTCTGTTTCAATGAACTAGAATAGAATACAAAATATCAGATCCCAGTGCATTTAGTTTCAGTTGTCTACACAGCTTTTTTTTCCTGCACTTGAAGGCAAGCGGGATTTCATCTTCCTGACAGAGGGTCAAACCATCACCCCTGCAGGGGAAACACACAGTCTTAACCACCGGACTACCAAGGAAGTGCCATATACACAGCTTTTTGGCTGTGTGCTGGGTGTCCCCATGTGAAATGTATTTCCTACAGTACAGGTTCACATGGTTGGATTTGGAGAAGTCTTTCCTGAAGCAATTTCTTGAAACTTTATAGCCATTAAATATTCTCAAGTATATTAACCTCTGGTGAACTAAAAAAAGTAACTTCCTATTATTGGCTTTTTAAAGTCTCTAAGAAACCCTGAGTCATAAAAAATGGGAGTACTCTACATATATTTCTATTGTGAATAAGATAGTAACTGTGCTAAGAGGAAGTTTGTGATTTGTAGAAAAGCTGAAAGGAAAGGGAGGTGTATAACTTGGTTCTTTTACTCCAAAATTCTGGACTCTAATTAAACGCTTGATTCTGGACTTTTCTACTTCAGTAGTTTACCATGATTGCATTATTGAAGACAGGGTTTAGGGAAGAGGTGCTTTTTTTGGATTAAAAACTTTTCCCTTCTCCAGCTTCCTCATAGGAGTGGTGGTGTATGAACACAGCCAAGATAACGCTGTGAAGACCATGTGTAAATCACTGTCTGATGGAGAAGATTCCGCTTTGTGGACTCTTGAGAGTCACATTATCTTGGCTTTTGGTACAGGGCTTTTCTGGAAAACTTTTCTTAAAATGGGCCATATATTATTTTATAAATTGTTACTCTTTTTATTTAATTCAACAAATAAAACTGAGGGGGAGAAGGCATACCCAAGTTTGCAGCATTGTTTGGAACTGTAAAATATTGGAATGAACGTTAATATTCACATAAAAAAGTGAATAAATTAAGACACATATGCACAGTTGGGTAATATACACCTACAAAAATGAATGAGGGCAATCTCTATGAGCTATTAAGGAATGAATTCCAGAATAGATGGTTAAGTGAAAAGTCAAATGCAAAAGAGTATCCATAGTATGATTCCCTCTGTAAGGGAATGATGAAGACATAAGAAAAATACATTTTTTCGTTCATTTGTGCAAAAGATATACAGGAAGGATAAACCAAAAATGAAAGAGAATTGCTATCTCTGGTAGTGGGGATTAGAAGGGAATGGGGAAAAGGAGGAATGGGAGCTGAGTCGTAGTGATGAAGAGTCAGTGACAGTTTTCTGAGTACGTCTTTTTTCATAACTCTGACTGTTACAGCTATAGTAATATTTCATATACCAGCGAAACAATCACATTATTAAAAGTAATAGGAATGGGGGAACTCAGAATGAAATACAAGCACTAACAAATGAACCAAAATGTATTAAATTAATAACACAAAAAGGATTGGGAGGGATTAAAGTTAAGTAACTATAGAAAATAGAATCTTGATTGGATACTACAAGGATAAGACAAAAGTAGGTAGACATAAAGGTTGCAATGCAATAGTGTTAGCTCAGAGATAGGGATTAGCAATTCTGAAACTACTATTTGTCTACTAGAATTGAATAAAGAGGTAAACACAATGTAGAACATGAGATCTGATGTTCTCCCTAGTGGAAAAAGAAGTATTTGGCTGAAATGAAACTTGTACTAGATCGAGATCAGAAGTATTTATATAAAGTTATATTTTAAAATACCTCTACAGTTTTATAGATAGAGAAACCTAGAAGAATGTGTATGTGCATGGGTTAACATACACATATACTTCCTTGCTCTGTCAGTGGAGAGGACCTAAAAGCTGTTATAGCCTAGTAGCAGTTAGCACACTTGGCACACAATCTTTGCCTTTTAAGCATCACTCTTCAGTTAAAGAACTCAGGGGCCCCTGGAGAAGGGATTGGCTCCAAAACAGGAGTATGAAAAATATAGGGTGGACTAGGATTAATTTGTGGTGCCAGAAAATAGGAAGTTGCTTAAAATAAAATGAAAATTTGTTGAAAAATGTTGCAAGCCAGTCTAAAGCTGGTATGATTTGAACAATAAAATACAAATGGATAATATAGGATTTTAACTCACAGATAAAAGATATATCCATAGATAACATACATACATAAGGAAAACAGACAACTTTTCCTTGTTTCAGTTAAGTTAAAATCAAGAGGTGGAAGCTAAAATTGAGTGAAATTTGAAGGAGAAATCAGGATTTGTATAGTTTCAAAGTAT